GAAATATGGTTAAAGTACTGCTGAATGTACTGTCAAGCATTTGTGGTAAATTAAAATAGAGTTTAATGTCATTTCTATTGAAACTTTAAATATATTTGTAATTACACATTTGTAATGATTACATTGCAATTTAGTACATGTAAAATATATTTTAAATATAATATTGAATAACACACTACAGTTAAAATTATACTTAAGTACTTTACATTAGTATGTTAGTCAACACATAAAAATAAGTGTGCTTATTTCATTTATATTTTGTACTTAAGTGTGCTTTTAAAACACAACAAAATATTATTAAAACATTAAGTTATTTAAAATGGTGTAGAATGTACTTTAAAGTAAAATTTTTACATAATTACAAAGTGCACTTTTTCAAAGTGTACTTAAGTGTGTAAAGATACAGTCATAAAAGAGTCTCTCTCTTGCATGGCCTTTTTTCAGTTTTTAAATATATACTTTTAAGACTTGAAATACACTACAAGTTCACATTCAGTACAATTAAGTGCACTTCTTTTTACAAGGGTTGACAAGACCTTATTGTAGCATATTAGCATATTGCAGTTGTTTTATTGACCTTGTAGTCATGCTGTGGTTATAAAGTATATCAACACGCAGGTAAGACTGCAAAAACTGATTGGTCAGTCAAGTCCATTGGAAAATCCAGCTAAAACCAGTTTCTAATGGTTTCTTGCTGGTCCAAGCCGGTCTACGTACAGTAGTTGATCAGCTAAACCTGGTTTTGATCTGGCTGACCAAGCTGATTAGACCTGGTAAAGCACCTTGAACCAGAAACCCAACATCTATCATGTTCTAGAAACCAACTTGAACATCTTAAACTGACCTGGTTTTTCCAATGGGGTATCTACTAGCTTTAATATATGGTAAATCTTCTCAGCTACAGACTTTTTTAAACCCTCAAATAACATCACTATCCACATAAATGCATCAAGGGATCCTCTTTGGCTTCTTTTTTGCCACCAGCCACAACTGGCAATATGCTGGACACCTCCCTACTAT